CACAAAGTGTGCCTTGATGCTCAAATTCAGTGGGATAACAGGCTTCCTAGTTTCACAGAGTGCACACAACTGTCCCTATGGTTATAGGGTACATGACAACCTCTGAGGACAGGTATCAAGAGCTGTTGGAATCTTGGACATCTGTCCCATGTGTGAGATACTGAATTGCAGATGACAGCTTCTCACCAAACTAGACATTAGATCCTTCAGGAAACACATTTTAGAAGTCTTCCTATTCTAACAGAGTCTTTGTCAAATAAGTAGCAAAAATGAAATTGGGTAGCAACTTGTTGCATAAATCAGATCATCATGTTAAGCCATATTGTTGGGTATACCAGGTTATATGAACGCAGCAGTTGGTATTTTGTTAACCAAAGTTTAGGTTTTAGCATATTTTGGGAAGCCAGCTCCTGTTCCTGCCTAGTGTCTTTTTCCAGGCTCATGGCAGAGTGCTCCCCATATCCTACCTTGGTAAACAATAGCAATCTCCTTCCTTCATATTTCTATCTGTGTTATGAATGATGTTATAGATCTGGAGTTTCCAACCCCATTTTGTTCAATAAGTTGAACTTGAGGAAAATATTTGGATGAGGGAATGGGAGCAAGGTAAAGATGCTCTCAAATCAATCTTGATATGAAAATATGAGCTTTACATGAGCTTTTTACATGTTGGTGCATTTTTCTTGACAATACAACAATAGTTTGCCATTGGCTTCAGTCTTGGGACTTTTTGGAGGTCTCCATCCACATATGAACCAGGTCTTATCCTGTTTGGCTTCATTGCCCAGCCAGGTGCTCAGACAATACATCCCTAACCTGGCTTTTACTTCACTTTCATCCTTTCTTCTTCTGAAAGTTTCACTTCTTTTTTCTACAGAGCTTTAAGTCAAGCCCAGAAGTAACACAGAGAAAGCTGGTGAGAGTGGGGGAGGTATGGGTTTTACCTAGGAGATGAAATAATGCAGCTGGGCAGCTCTTGGAAAAGGACACACACAGACACAGACACACACACACACACACACAGACACACACACACAGACACACACACACACACAGACAATAAATGGAGTGCCCAGAATGGAACTACTGATTTCTCTCTTTCCCCTGCTATTAATTTATTCCAAAATAGCTGTCTGTGAGTAGGATGGATTTGTTTTTGTCTCTGGTCATCATTTCCATTGTTATTTGTTCTTTCTTGGGCTCTTTCCGAGCTGGACCAGGAAGGAGTCTTCCTTCTCCCTCTTCTTCAATAGATCCTCATCTTCTTCCTCCATCAACAAGACAAAAGCCAAACAGCATTTAACAAATTGGACACTTCCCTTTCCCCTTTTGCTCTCATTTCCCTTTGTCTGGGTGTGTGTTTTTGTCTCTGAAGTCCAGCTTCTCTTTCACAGAACCTCCTTTTGAAATAGTCAGCTGCAAAGCTATCTCAGGACTTGCAAGTGTTTGACCCAGGGAATGATCACACTTCAACTGGAAACAACAAAGCACTATAGGATAGATCACCCCAGTTGTTGTGCTCACTATAAGAGAAAGATAATTAGAAGGGAGGAAAGCATGTGGAGAGGAATGGGGCCAGATCCAATCCATTCCACCCCTCACATAAGATGACTTGTGCTAAATGCTTAAAAAGCAGTTTCCCCCAATCTGGTGCTCGCCAACTGTGTTGAACTGCAATTCCATCAACCCTAGCCGGGTCAGCTAGAAGAATCCAAGTGGGAAAGCTTCTGTGAAGCTTGGCATGGGCAAGGGAAGCTTAAGTCTCAGAGAGAGTGGGCAGGAGAAGGAATACACTCTTTGCTGCTCAAGCTCTTCTCCCTCAAATTCCCTCAACCCAATTTCTTTTCTCTTCATGAGAATTTACTTCTGGTCATCACACACCATTAGGAATAAAAATACCTGGGAAGAAAAGGAGTAAATTGGGGAAGCACACCCTCTTACCACATCCCCTTTGATCATGGGCTTTGCCCCATCCCCATTTAATAAGACAGAGGCCTGTCATTCTTATGTCAAACTGTTGGAATTGATCTGCAGTATTTTCAGCCAGTCTGGGAGTAAATTGCTTGAAATAAAAAAGCATTAGACTTTGAAGAGAAAATATATTGCAAAAGCAGGATTAACATGCCTTGAATAATCATTAACTCAACTGGAAGTCTTTTGATCCCCAATTCTTTATCTGTTCCCCATACCTCAAGAACAGAGACAACATTGGACCAGGAAAAAAGCTTGACACTAGTATAGGTGCACATTTGGATGTCAAGTGACACAACGGCAAAAATCCCTTCAGGAAGATGTCCAAGGAGATCCAGTTGTCTGCAGTGATCCAGCAGATCCCCAGGAAGAGGAGAAATCTTTTTCTTTTCTTTTATCATTGCTCAGGAAATAACATCTCCCTGAATTTCAGGCCAGAGCTCAACAACCTGAGATCCAACATAAGCAAAGGGAGTCATTTGTGACCATGCAGAGACTTTTCCAGGACCACAGTAATGTTCATTCTGGTGCTAATTGAAAGGGACAGGTAAGAAGTGAATAATGGAAAACTTCTTAGATATTTTCCTTCATACTTCCAAATCATCAAATTATCTTTTGAACCTCTTTTGACACTTGGTTGAGCCAGATGGCTTATCAAGAGGAATATTTTGATCCCACATTTTGGTCTGCACTCAGCTCACCTCAGATCTTAGAGCAGTCACTCTCCTCCAAGGCCACTTCAGCTCATTAGCTTGGGGGAGGTTTTTGCAAGGGCTGGAATTCTTTACACTTTCCTTTTTGAACAACTGTCTTTCAAGGCCGTTAGAGTTCTAACCAGCTGTTTAAGAATGAAGGGCTCCTGGTTTCCTTGAGCAGAAAGCCCTTGTGACACAGCCACCAAAACCTCAGGGGACAAGAAAGGGGTCACTAAAGATCAGGATTCCTGTCTGTGGGAAACGTGCAAGTATTATACTGGGGCTGAAGCAACTGTATTGCTAACCTTTTAATTAGAGAATTAGATTGAAACTTTTGGTTTTGGCATATTATTTATTTATTAATCTATACTTTAGCTTTACAGCTTGCTTTTTCTTCCAGAGCGTAAAATACCAAAAAAATCCTCTCTCCATTTCCCCCATAGCCACAATTCTGTGAGGTTTATTTGATTGAGAGACAGTGACCATCCCAAACTCACCAAGCTGAGGGGAGGTGCATAAACCCGAGTTTCTTGTTCTTAGTTCAGTATCTTGAGTTCTATAGTATAAGATACTAAACCAAGGTTCGGATTGATTGCTTTCTGTGATGCAGATCTGGCTAAATATCTAACATCATCATCAGAATTCCTGCCATTTGTTCCTTGACAAACGAAGTGATAGCGCTTCAGGCATTAAAATCCCTCTTGTCTTTGCACAATATATTACTTCTTTCAATCTTGTAAGCTTCCAAAGTCTAAGAAAACTGTTTCAGCTTCTCTGAATCCATGATACCCACCACTGGATATGGTACTTGAGATGGGGCCTGACTACTGTGGAATATAATGGAACTGTTATTTCCTGTAATTTAGGGATTACACTTCGATTGAAATATAGTATTTTTTGCAGTGATATCACACTGTTCCTTAACCACTTAGTAGTCATAGTGTAAGAACTGATGATGATACACAGAGGAAAGCAGTCATGATATTGTGCTCAGGACTTTATAATTCTTCTTATTTCCAGTATACAAGGAATCAGAGGCGCCATGTCAATGGAAAGAAAATAGAGTAATAAAAGTCAGCACTGTTTTATGACAGTTAAAAAGGCAAATGCAACTTTAGATTATATAGCTTCCAAATCAGGAGAAGTAATAAAACTACTATATTTTGCATTGGTCAAGTGCCTCAAGGAATATGTCCAGTTCTGAACACAATATTTAAAAAAGGGTCAGAGAAACAGAAGCAAGTGAAGAGAAAGACAAAGCGGATCATCATGGGACTGGAAACTAACAGCATTACCAGACATGGTCTCAAATCCATGTAGATAGTAAATTGAACCTTCTGCCTGCAGCAAAAGAAAGCCAGGATCTAAATCAATGAAAAATGCTGATTTAAATGTTTGTTTATAGCTCTATGATTGTGTACTGAATTTAGCACTCTAACAACACTCTAGATCCATAATGCACTTGAGCTTTTGCATTATTTGGGCAGATTATAAATTCATTTGACCATGCAGTGGCTCACACCTTTGCTTAAATGTCATTTGAATCCTTTGAATGTGACTTTTTTTTAAATAGTAAACATGCTATACTAAACATCTTAACCCTAACCCTGAGCCCTAAATTGATAACTTGTTGGGTGGAAGCTTTATTTGAGTTAGGATGGATCTATCCTTAGTTCTAGAACTTCCTTCCTGCCCTACAGTGGGGGTGTTTAGCTTGGAGGAGGGATGACCTGAAATCCTCTTGAATAGAAGACAACAAAACTAATTGGGCATTCATTATAAGAGGGTGATTTGTTGAACAATAGGATTTCAGTTATTTACTGTAGGTAACTTTGTACTGAAACCAGTTATGTAGAAAAATAACTGGAAGTCTTTCAAGCAAAGGTAGAACAGCCATCTTTGATGCTGGTTAGATTAGATTACAAACACAGTGTTTTTCAGCAAGGATGAGTGTGATTCTAAGCCATCTCTAAACCATTGTGTACCAAAAATAGCAAGTACAGCAACTATTTCCAGATTGCTGAGTTATCATTTTCACGCTAGGAAACAAATATGGTCCTCCTTCTACTCATGAACCAGAATACATTATGTTGTTGTTTTTAAAAATGATTTGGAAGAGATCTCAAGCTATTTTTGTATAACAAGCTAGAATTACTGAAATAGCAGCTGAGGAGCACACACTACTGAGATTATTCTCTTCAGGCCTTTCTCGTGTGCTTCTAGGAGGCATCTGTTGCCCACTGTTGAAAACAGGATTCTGGATTGGTCTAGTAGAGTTCTTCTTACCTGCTTAAAAGTGTAACCCTATGAGTTAGCCTCATAGGGCAGCGTCATTAATGGCTCTCAGCCAAAGGGTATGAGAGAGGCACAACACGTGGGGTACCTTCTTCTTAAAGCACCTCAGTTTCCCCTTCTATTTGCAGGTCCCCAGCTTTACCATCATTTTGACTCAATGCAGCCATATGACGTTTGATGCACACAAGAACAGATTTCCATCCATCACAGACCTTGGAGAAGTTCAGAGGGGCCCAGCAATTTGGAATGAGAAACATTCCTTCCCAAGAACTCCTCTGGAGTGGAAAGGGGAGAAGGAGGTAGAGATAAGGACACTGCTAATTTGTCTTTTTTAATTGGCTCAGAATACTTGAATGAAAGCTGTTTTGTTATCCTTGGCTGAGCCTTGGCTGGCGTCCAACATCTCGAGCTGTGCCAGAGGCTTCTGAAGTGTGAGCCTCTGATAAATACTCTATTATGATTGACTCCATTTCATGTCATTTGGAGTGGAGTCTAGGGGAAACTGCAGGATTTATTACTACCATATTTTTGTTTAGGGATTAGAGTTGGGTTTGGGGTAGCCAATCCGAATGAAAAATACTGAAATCTTTTTGTTTCATTGGTAAGAAAGACCAGTATTTGTTTTTAGATATTCTAACTTCACCAGTTGAATGTCTCTGTTCACATGCAAAATATTCCCCATGGAACAGATCCAAATTTGGGTTATATACTTATTTTAAATGAGCCTAATATCAAAGGAATGCAAGAAGTTGGATTAATGAGAGGTCCAGCTAGGTATAGTATCCTGCTTCTCCTAGTGACTAACCTCCTGGTTCCATGAAGGGTTTGAAAGCCACAATCTCTCTTTGTATAGTTCTCCAGGAACTTTTATTAAGTAGGCAGACTATTTCCAAACATTGAGGATCCATTTAATTGTTAAAGTTATATTCACATTCTTGAATGTTATCTTCTATTTATTTTTACAGCAACATTTCCTCATTTGATGTCCTAATATTACTGAGCTCTGATTCCTACCTTCCCCAACCAGTATGGCTGATAAAGGTGGCAACATGGCAATACATTGCACAAATATACTCTGTTTTCTAAGAAGGTACAGTGCTTTCTTAGAGTCACAACATTGCTCCTGTTTGGTTACTTGCTATTTAGATGCCATAACTACAGTACAAGGTTTTGGTTGCACAGTCATTGTGATTCACCCTTCAGAGTGCCTACATATATGCTGATGAGAAAATATGAGCTGTAATGCTTAAAAAGAAAAACAAGCCAGCAAAATAAGCAGTGGTGCAAGTTATATTGCTTGTGAAAAGTAACTGCTCCTAATTTTCTGTGTTCCTATTTAGCAGCTGAAGTTTTTACAAAGCTTGACATCCCCAAACAGTAAACTAAGGAAGCAATATGGATACTCTTTAAAGGACACTTCAGTCAGTATGCATGCATTGTATTAGTGAAAACAAGGAAATCTTTTCTGCCTTTTTCCTCTAATTCTGGCAACCAGCTGAGATAATGGTACTCTCTCTAGGTGTGTAAAACTTGGGGTAGTTGATCATCCACATCCACTGAAATATCAAAATCTATGCCAGAACACTGCATTGCCAACATCTATGCACCATGCTCAGGCTACATGTATGTACAGCGACAGAATACCCCCCTTCTCTTGCAAGCCACCCAAACCTTTGTTTGAACATCTTTAACAAGCACCATTAGCTTATTCTATGCAAGTTGGATTTCCTAGGGAGTAGTATGGGATGGAGTCATAATCAATCTGATTTAAATTTTTGAGGTATAAGGCAGACACATGTATGAGTGTTTCTTGCTATGTTTTAACTTAAACTGAATTTCAGTTAGAGATTTGAAATCTATTGTTTCTCCTAGTTTATTTGTACCAGATCCCAGACCCTGGAAAAAGTTTCTGGCACAGATGATTAGTGGGAGAAGATGACAAAGAAGAAAAATAAGGTGTATGAATGTGTTGCTGTTGCCAGATGAGGATTCTGCATCTCAAGAAGCCAAGCAGAACTGTAATTTCCCTTTCCTGGAAAAAGTAAGTTTTGATTCAGAACTGGAAATCAAACCAATTCTTTTTTAGATGACATGAACATTTTTTAAAAAAATTACTCTGATGTGAATACTTGTATTGTGAAGTGCATTATAATTTATTATGGAGTGAAACAATTTTTTTGGCTTTGAGTGAGATAAAATGTTATCGGTATTTAGTTAGACATCCTCAATGTAAGCAGTGCTTTTAGATATGCAGTTCTAGAGCAGATCTTAGGCCCACTATAAGCCCTCCAAAATCCTTCAACTAGATCTCCTTTCCTCTCTCTTTCTCTCCAATTCAAGCCAAAGTCTTTTAAATGGTTCCTCTCCTCCAGAACTAATGTGTATCATGTTTGAAGGCTAAAAATTTGATTTGTGTTTGCTGGACATTAGACAACACATTGAATAAAACAGGGTGAAGAATTGGCTCATGGAATTGAAGAGTTCAAAACAATATTTATGAACCCAACTAACTTTAACTGAGTCTGACTTTGTGCACTGGTGCAAGTCCAGTAAGTTTCAGTGTTGGTCAGGAAGGTCTTGTGCTTACTGCAAGCCTGGCTGATTCAGACTTTCCCCAGGATTGCAGAGAGTGTGGTCTGGTCTGCTGGTTCAGGGATACACCTTGTTGGTGATGAGAAATGGAACTCTGCCAGTGATGAATGTTACTACATTTTGCAAGTGACCTGACTTAACAGTTGCTGGTTTCAACTTCAGTTGGGCTTCCATTCTCTTCTCTTGTAGAAGCTAACAACAAACATCTGTCCATACACTAGTACTTCAAAAACAGCCAATTCTGGATGTTAAAATCTAGCAGTGGCAACAATAGATGCCTTGGCCACATAATTCTTGAGATGCAAGGCTAGTTCTTACTCTTGCTAATCCTTATTCTTCCAATATGTTTCCTATGCTTTTTCTGCCAAATTTGATTGCTCATTGGAATACCATCTCCACCTCTGCTCCTGCCTTTAGAATCATCTTTACCTATTCAAATCTATGTATATTACTGGTGTAGCCTGGAATCCATTGTGCATTAGCATAGCCATATTTAGCAATAATAGGAAGTTATGAGTGATGTATTATTGCACCAGTCCTCCCCAACATTTGCCTATATATTTGGTTGTCCAACATTACTGATGAGAACTAGGTTGGGAAAAGCTGGGGCATGAGTGCCAATAGCAGATCTGTCTTCTTTAGGAAACCCATCTTCCATTCAAATTAAATTTCCAGGAAGCTAGTGAAAGAAACCACTTTCACGTTAGGAACCAAAACTTCTGGAACATGGCCACACAGCCTGGAAGACCCACATCAGCCAAACCACTTTCCATCTATTCTTCAAAATCCTTGAAAGGCACCTATCCTAATGTCCCTGCAACACGCACATGAATTTCATGGATTAATTGGGGGAACAAATTAAAAGTCAGGCAGTTCATCCATTTTGCTTTTCTTATTTTTTTGAAATGACTTGACAACCATAGACATTTTCTGCAAGAATCTGACACTGTTTACATGCCATTTGAACTGATCTCCAGACTTTCCATCCTAAATCCAGCAGGATCTTTGATCTTGCCTTTTTGTAGAAACATGAAGCTTACAGAAAAGATTTCCTGTCCCTCTGAAAGACAAAAAAGAGAAGAGGTCTGAAATTTGCCTTTTGCTGAGGTACTTTGCTACAGTAGATAAGGATAAAGATGTGTTGAAGACCCCAAGCCAGGTATTAATGAAAGCATTTTTCTCCTTAATGTTATCTGGACCACAGTGGTTAAAGGGTATTGGTTGCTAATGCAGCTTCTGTCATTATTCTGGAATATTGTTTATATCTCAGAGATGTGGATAAAGAGTTCTGTCACTTCTGGCACCACTATACCTCCTGGGAGATTATGGGGAACTGTGGCTGACACTGGCCAAGTTTGCTTTGATGGACATTGTAGGGAGGCATGGTTCCTGTCAAGGGAAGGGTCATGTGGGGAAGAGAGAGGAGGGAAGATCACAGTAGGGAATTTGGGGGTATTTTTAGAAAACTTCTAGAGGGAATCTTCAGCTTTGCAAGAGTGCTACTTAAGGCTGAATCCTTCAAACTTAACATGGCAAGTCAGAACAGTACACCATGATACACAGAGAATGAAATCCATATCGTTATGTTTCTGGGTTTATTTTTCCTTCCTCATTTACAATTGGTCACTCCCTGAAATTTATTTGGAATAGTTCAGATAGGCTAAAAAGAAAAAAAAAGACATATTCATACTAGGCATAATTAAGCTGTAATCAAGTTATAGTGGTCATGGCAACAAACTTATTTGCCAGTAATAATTCCATCATATGTATGTATTTATGTACATATGTATATATCTGTAAATGTACAAATTGTTTTTCATGATAACCACTATGATTCCAAAGAGGCAATACAAAATAGGATTAACACCATAAAACTGTAAAAAGGCAGCATTGTTAAAATGATAAAACCATAACATTGCAACATCTGAAGATCAAGATAACAAGAAGAGATAACATGAGACCCAGAGGTATAGATCCAGTTGGATAAACAATTAAATTTTCAGCAGGCACTAAAGTTTATAAGGCTTGGCATCATTTGCAACTGGGCTGGGAGGGAATTCCATTTGCAGGTGCCAGAGTAAAAAAAAAATGCTTCCTTTTAGGTTGCCACAGACGCTGAGCACTGGCCAAGTTTCAGTGGCGCCATCAAGATGGCAACCCCATCTTAATGACGGGTCTGATGCACAAGGGAGAAAATTATTCAGATTAATTAGGTATCCAAGTCCTAAACCATAGACAGCTTTATTGTATGTCAATAGAAGCACAGGAACATAGATCAGTAACAAATTAGCAGCAGAGACAGCTACTTATGACCTCAGAAACTAGATAGAAGCTCTACATATTACAGAAGCATATCCATCTGTATATCGGAAGCTATAACTTTTTCATATGATTTGAGAAAGAAAAATAATGCTGATTTATTACAGTTGGGGAGGATTGTACTATTGGGGCAATCTTCCTCAACCTGGTAATCTCTGAAGGTGTTGGAATAGATCAGTGTTTTTCAACCTTGGCAGCTTTAAGATGCGTGGACTTCAACTCCCAGAATTCCCCAGCCAGCATGC